ACGCTATAGTGTCAGTTTTTAAACGGCATATAATATTTGATACTCTTCTTTTTGGCAGGTGGCTTGCATTGACATCTAGCAAATAATCTTTTTTTTTTCCCTCCAACTCAAAATGAAGATTCAACATATTTTCTTTAATCTCCATAGTTCTTTGTTTACCCCCATCATATTTCTTCCTCTCTAGGATCTTGACTTGAGTCCAATATCCACCAAATTTAAAAGTTACAAGCAAGTGCGCATTAATATCAGGTTGCTTATCCAAATTTTGAAATGATGACCAGTGCATTGCAATAAATAAAACGTAGGTTAAAAAACTAATAAAATATTTCAATGATTTTCTTTGGGTAAAAAAATAATTTCACGAAAAAGCATCCTCATTCTCTCCATATTCATATCCATGCTCCATGTTCGTGTCCTTGAGTTGAAAAAGTGATGAAATATCCTTAACAACCTTATGATACAATTTAACTGCAAAAGAATTTTCATGCATCATGAACTACAACAATACGAGTTAGTATTTTGTGTGACCATATATTTATATAATTTCATTTGAAGTAGAGTTAAATTAAAAATTTTTTCATATCATCATAAATTACAACCACAAAACTTTTTAATTTCTTATTAGCTGCTCTCCACTCCCTCTTCAATCAGACATAGTGACTTTCTGTTATTCCTAACATTTCAGAATCAACAGCCATTAATGTTGGAAAATGTGTGTAAAAATCCTTTTATTCCTAATGAGGAGAAGAGCAGAATCAGGAAAATAGGTGCAGGAAATTCAACTTGTAAAAATCCATTTATTCCTATAAATAAGCATTTCATTCAGTTTTTCTGTCCTAGCAGGAAATTGTTATTTGCAAATATCATGTTTCATGGATAAAGAGTATTAATAATTAGGAACATTTACATACATACCAGCCACATCCTATGTATTTACATATCTATCACTTCAACTTCCACCGTACCTATTAAGAAATGCTGTTGTTTATCTTTTCGTTTTTTTACCAGTAACAGGAATTCTGCCATTTTTTGCTTGTGATATCCTATGTTTTTCTAATTTTGTTCATGCTGCTATCTTGTGTTTTCCATCCTTTTTAGCTCATTGTTGGTGAACATAACTTCATTAAGGTTTTGTGGAAACAACTCTAAATTCCTATAACCTGAGACCGCGAATATTTCTATAAAATGGATGTAAACATTTACAGATAAAAGAAGATTGAACATCCTCTCTAGTTCGGCCACTAGGGAATATGCTATTAACGAGCTTTGCTTTATAAATCATTCGATTATTTATTTGAGGAAGAAAGAGAGATTTGGCGAGGGCCCGGAGTTGTCCGATCGAGGAAGGGAGTGTAGCGGGCGACGGAGGGAGGAAGGGTGCTGTTTTGGCGAGCCTAGGACGAGGATGCGAACGAGGGGATATGAAGAGGTTATACCTCTATCGAGAAAAAATACCGAAGAAGAGGGAGGAGCGGCTAGGGCAGAGGATGCGAACGAGGGGAAGGGAGATGGAAAATCATATGATGCGAACAAAACGCGGCCTGCGGGGATCATCCAGCGGGCGGCGTATTTAACAAATAGAAAACATCGTTTTTGGATAAGTTGGTAAAACACGCGAAACAAACGATATGGCGGCATTTTGAAAACGCCGCCCGCAGTTATAAACTGCCCAAAATAGGCCCTAAGTGTAATTATGTGCCATCTTCAAAATAATCTTGTGCTTCCAGTGAATTAAAAGTCTTTACATATTTTGAGCCTACCTTCATTTGAAAACGAGAGTTTAGAGGAGATATTGTTTACTTTCTAATGGTTATTGAATTGAAAAATGTGCCTCAAAATATGAGAAGTACTAAAGATATTAGGCAAAAAAATAGTGGCGTGATGATCTTAATACATTGCTCCAAGGATATGCAACATGCCCTTGATTTAATTTCTTAATTATTATTGTCTAACATACCATATTAGAGAATTCTTCCAACTAAACATGCTAAACTTAAAAATCAATTTGGTATATTTCTTGAGTAAAAATTTAATGGAAAAATTTGGTGTTTGCTGCTCTTCTTTTACTAAATCTTAAGAAAGATCGTACGGAGGAAAAGTTAATTTATTGTTTATTGTCTTTTGAATTGAAAGATTATGTTTTACCTCAAATGTGAGTATGCCCGAGGATGTTGCTCAAGTATTGTTTGATTTTATAGATATCTATCCTACCTAATAAATTTTCATCATTTAGGGTTATATAACACATGTCATTGATTTAATTTTTGGATTTTTATAGTCAAACTTTACATATTGTAGGATAATTTAACAGAACATTTTGAGGGTAGAAAACAACTAATGTATTTTTTTAAGAAAAGGGTTTGTAATACAAGTTATGAGTTCTTGCATAGTTTCAATTATTGAATCCTAAGATAATAATTGAAACATGTTTGTTGATCATCAATGAAATTATTAAATTTATCATAAAATATCCCTTTCTTATTCCTCTATTGAATGATATGATGGACACGATGGTCTTAAGTTGGTGATCTTTTCTAAAGTTAATTTGTTGGTGATCTTTTCTAATGTTAATTTGAGAAGTGATTATGATGGGTGGAAAAATAGCCTTTAAAATCGAATTGGTGTCTTTTGAATTACTAATTCACCTAATATGCTAGTTTTTATCAGGATTATGAATCATGTTTTATAATCTTTTATTAGAAATGTTTCTTATTGTGCACTTTGATGATATTTTGAATATTGTTCAATATCAAAAATAAAAGTTCACTATTTGTGCATCTTAAGCTTAAAAGTTATATTTGAATTTGAAGAAATATTATTTTGTAATAAAATCCACTATCATTTTTGTTGTTGATCAAAATTGAGCTAAAATTATTAATAAGTGGTTAACACCTATGAGATTCAGAGCTCTCATGATTTGGACACTTTATACAGGTTATTCAATAAAAGATTTAGTACTGCGTGACATTAATTGCAAGTTGTTCTAAGAAATGGGCTTTAAATGTTCAAAATTTGCTAATCATGTTTTTATGGAAATTAAGAAGAGATATACGAATGCATCAATGATTAAGTTGCTGAATTTTAACAACTTGTTTGAGGTTACTTGAATGAGATTGAGTAGAAGTATTCAAAATATATTATGGCAATTTATTTATTGTCTAAGCACTTCATTATCAGGGACATTGCTTGTTGCTTGAAGAATTTGCCTTTATTATGACCACCAAGGTTTCAAATATTTGTGTTCACAAAAAAATTATGACATGGACATGCAAATTGAGTTGTGTTTCTACAGGAAAACAGTTTTTTCTTTAAACATTGTGTTGTCGTTGAAAATAAGATTGTTGATGCTTTTATGTAAAATTGATGTTAGTTCGCATACACTGAAGATTAAGTTGATCTTAGTTTTGATTATATTAAAGATGAATATACCACTTGAAATTACTTTTATGAGATATATTAGGACCTTGATGACAATTTATTATTTTTTAATATTTCGTACTTAAAGATGATTATTTATTTAAGCAGGGAACATATTAGCATTCTTGATTTTTCTTTGAGGGACTTTCTTGTATTAGAATCGTATATTGTTGGTTCTATAAGACATTTTGATATGGATAAGCCTAGAGACATAATAAGGAATAAACATTCCTGGTCTTGCTTGAAAAGAGACGTTGCTCATATATTTAACAATACATAACTTGTCAAGCAACCAAGGGGATTAAAACTAATATTAGACTTTATATTTCTTTGCCAATTGTATAAGCCTTGTGAGGATATCGTGTTCATCTTTATTTAAGGACTACCATGGACTTTAAGGGAATAAAATACTATTTTTGTAGTGCTAGATTTGTCTTCCCTAAAAAGCCACATTTCATTCCATCCCATAGAAAAACATTACCGATACTTCTCACATTGCTAAATTATATTTCAATGAGCTAGTATTGCATGTATTGCTTTCCATTGTGTTTGACAAGGATTGGAAATTCATATAGTTATATTTGGACAATTCTTTGAAAACGAGAAAGCGCAATAAAAGTTTTTTTTCTTTATATCACTCTCAAATTGATGGGCAAAGTGAGATATCTAATAAGAGTTTTGATGTTATATTGAGCTTTTGATTGAAAAAATGCCTTTGATTGGGATATGATAATTCATATGTTAGTAACTCCACAAGCACAAGTGATACCAGAGTTAGCCTAAACCACAATAGGAAATGCAATATTATTACTAAAGCAAATAAATGGTTACAACTAAACACACTTGGAATTGAAATTTTAAATACTTCTAAGATATATTTATGCTAATTATTATTTTACATGCAATTAAATGTTTATGATATATTTTAATTAACATTTATTTCGTGTTCATGAGTCCTTTGCATGTAGTGTAAGCCTGGACTTAAAACAATTTTCAGTAATGATATTGAAGATCTGAAACGCTAGTCTTGGATTAAGTTGAACAAAACTTTATACTTGATTTCCAATTAGTTTTTTTTTTTATGTGTTGATGTCCATATAATCAAAGATCCAAACTGGTTTGACACACAGTTTCATCATTAGCATGATTGCTAATGTATGAGTAGCCTGCAACTTGTTGGACTCTTCACAAATCATATTTAGATGACCGAACACATATTTGAAATCGTAAAATCAAGAAGAGCCGCTAGAGTCACAAGGGCTCATATGAGCAATATTGAGAAACATCTTGGAATCTTTAGGAAGTCCTAGAAAAGCTCTAGAACTTCTTAAAACATTCTGAAAGCCTTTGAAAAGATGCTGAAATCCTTCCGGATCAGCAACGTGTTCATTAATTAGTTTATGTAGCAAAACATTTACAACTTGGTTTGAGGATTGCCGATCTTCAAAGTTGTAATGTCAAGCTGAACCCTGATGAAAGGTTTTGATCCAATTCATTTTGTTTCTCTGTCACTGCTGCTTTTTTGACTCCCTTAGAACCATAGTTATTAATTCTTGTTGCCATTTTCCTTATTGTGGTTGCAGTTCTACACATTTCTTGAAACAACTCTGGTCACCATGTCACTTTTGCCACATTTTATTGCCTTCTTCAACGATGGAGAGATTCCAGGAACACCTGGAATGCTAGCAACCACTTTCCTGACATTTGGTAAGTTTGGCATGACCGTATAATTAGCAGGTTGCCTTGAACAAGCTAAAAATTAATAGTTTTTCTTTTCTATATTTGCTAGTTTTGAACTTGGCTTTTGCACTGAGTGTTCTGGGCTTTCTGATCATGCATATATCCCTGGTGATGGGGAATACAACAACAATAGAGGTTAGTGCTTGTCATTTTTTTTGGAAGATTTACATACATACCATTCAATTCCTATGTATTTACATATCTAATTACACCTAAACTTCAATTTTTTCATATATACCACCTTATTAAAGTTAAAATAGTGGTATACTTCTTAAAGTTTAAAGTGGCATTTTTGATGTGATATGAAAGATTTGGGTGGTACAAATGTATGCAAACGAAGTTTGTGTTAGATATGCATATACACAAGAATTGGCTGGTACGTATGTAAATGTGCCTTTTTAAATACCCTTCTGGTTTAATTTAAGTTTTTAAAGTAGTTTGAATATTTCCTCTATATTATCAGGCATATGAAAAGAAAACTACTCCAAAATGGAGGTATGATTTGGGAAGGAGGAGGAATTTTGAACAGGTTTGTACGCGTAGTTATTTTTTTATTCGTGGAATTGAAATGAAGGTGTCATGACCTCAAAGTTATACTTGTTATGAAAAAGTGACTCTTACTAACCTTTTTGGCGCTCAACTTGGTATTATAAAGTGCTAGGAAGATGAAATCTGAAATCATAATGCTACGACTTAGAGGTTATTTGATTGGAAGGATTTGCAGTGTATTATAATTATTTTACATGGATTTTAGGAAATTATGTTTTTGGCATGAAGAATTACAAATACAATGTAAAGTATGAATGAGTTTGAAGTTTACATCTTAGTTCATTTTGATTGAATTTAAAATTCAACCGATTCGACCGAATTTGATTTACACTCTAAAATTCTGTTGGTAAGCAGTCCGCACACCTCCGCTGCCACCCTCATTTGCCGCACCCTGTCGCCGCTTGCTTGCCCGCATGCCTGCCGCAGCCCGCCGTCGCTGCCACAACTGACCACTTGTCGCCGGTATTTTGCCGCTGACAGTCCACTTTCGCGGGACAAAAAAATATATTTTGAAATACAATATTTTTGATATACGTCAAATCAAACAAGAAAAAAGTTAAAATTAATCGTTTATTTTACAGTGAACCAAACAATCTTAAAGTATTTCAGACACATTGTAATCAAGCTTACTTTTCAAATTTTTTATATTGCAGTTCATTTTCAGCAAACTAAAAAACCCCTTAAATATTATGATTTGATCATGATCGATGGTTTTAACTTTCCTTGGCGTGGTCTTTTCCTTAGGCTATGTATTGATTCCTCTTGCAAGTTGCTTCATGCCTTCTGAGTATGGTGAAAAATTCACTTTTCCTTTCTTTTCTTTAGGGTATTTACATTTATAGAACACAATCTTTTGTATTTATATATCTCACACCTATACTTTCATATTTGCATGCATAGCACTCAATCTTAATATCACATCAAAAATAGTACTGTTACTCCTTTTTAAAAGTGAAATACACCTTTTCATGCATAGGATTAAAGCACCAACATTATATCTATGTATTTATTAAAGTTTAGGTTTGAGACATATAAATACATAAGAATTAAGTGCTAGGTATTTATATTTCCCTTTCTTTTCTTTCGTATTCTCTTCTTGTTATTTGAATGCCTTTATTGTCATGGGGGTAGCATTTTTTTGATGTACATGAGTCAAAATTTTGCAATTTGAAGTGAAATATCAAGGATTCATAGTTTTGTGAAGTTGTTATATGTCCTATATTTCAAATATCAATTCATCTTGATCTTCTTTCATTCCTAAGTGAGATTTTTCTTTTCTGATACCGGCAAAGGGGGTATGAGAGTGGAATTTCAGCAAAGCAGGAATCAAGAATTGCTGAGAAGAATTCTGAAGGCAAAGAGCAATAAAAAGAAAATTATTGATATAAAGGAAGCACATGAATACACACAACAAGACACCACATTGGCTGCCAACTTCAGGATACAGCTTCAAGAAAGATGAACGGGTAACCCAACCTTCCCAAAAGAAAGATACTCACAATTCTAAAATTAAAATCTGCCCCTATCTACAAAACAATCCCTAGTTATAAATTATAAGTACTAAGATCCCTATTATTACAAGTTTTCAATCCAAACAGAAAAACTCAAAAATATAACTAAAACTTTAAAATTGAACTGTAACATAATGTGGACAACACTAGTACTGATGCTCCCGCATCATTCTCCCGGGGTTGGAAAAGATTAGAATTGGGTCTCCAATTCTGACTAAGAGACATTGAAAATGACTAAGATCAGTGATCCAAACATATGTCATCGCTACGACATTAACTGGATCAAAACTATTATGGAAATGTGCAACTTTGTCTGCCATTCGAGATTCATCACTACACATTTAACTTTCACATGCTTACCATATGATATTCATGCAGCCTAAAACCCTTGGGCTTTAGCTCTTTTACAAGCAACTGTAAAAACCAATGGCTCTGCATCCAGTTCCATACACAATCATGTCCTATGATCACCACCAAATCCCTCTTTGGAGTCCAGATCCCCCCAGACTTACAGTGAAGTGGTTCTTTAACATGCCCAATATCTCTTATTGCATCGATACCAAATCCTTTGTCGCCATCATTCCAAAGATAATTGCGTGAAGAGCTGAATTATTTGCATCAACAATGTTAAATTTGGATTTGGCTGTATTTTGTGTAGTTGCACTTGCAACTGTAGCATCTTGATAAAAAATTATCAATTCCATTTGTGCAAATACACTTAGAGACCATCTTCTTGTCATCATTATCATTTTGATCAACAACAACAAAGCCTTAATCACACTACGTGGGGGGTCAGCTACATGAATCCTTTTTCTCCGTTGCGTCCTATTTAGTGTCATATTTTCCTTTAGTTCTAGTAAATTAAGATCATTTTTTATACAATAAGCCCAAGTCTTCCTAGGTCTACCTATGCCTTTCTTAACACAAGTAGATTCTAAAACATCTAATCTCCTAATCGGATCATTATCATTTTGATCATTCGACGATAATTTGGACGGCTTAGAGATTAAAGAATTATATACTTCACTAGTGATAGACTGTTGTCCTCAGTGAATTCCACCAGACCATGAAGCCAAACGTCCTTGCATGAACTTTTCACTAGGAATTCCAACGCATTTTTCCTTGTCATAAACGGACTAGTTATATACAGGTATCCACGATGATTCCGATACTGGACCTTCAAATCCATTGAAATTTGAGGATTCTTGATGAAATGGGTTTTCATGTTCTTCCTTAACAATTTTATCTTCTTCCTTAACAATTTTATCTTTTTGATCCACATTATGATCTTCCAATTTTTGTTGATCAAGAACAACTATTCTTTCTTGAAGATACGGGATCTCCCGTTATAAACCTTCCATAATGAGTTCTTGATTCTGTCTTGCAATATTTCTTCATAGTGGCATGTTTCATTGGAAAATCACAGTTAGAAATAAGGAAATCGTCAATAATAGCAGCACTGTGGACAATCTGGACAGCAAACAAAAGAAAGGCTAGTGAGCCCAGGAAAGATAACAAAAATATTGTGTTTGAAGGAAAGGAAGGACGGGATGAAAGAGCAGTCGAGAGGAAAGATTGTAGAAAAACCCAGCCATGAAGAACAACGGGACAGAAAACTGCATCTTTCTTGAACTTTTGAGAAAACTGCATCTTTCTTCTTGAACTTTTGAAAACTGCATCTTTCTTGAACTTTTGAAAACTGCATCTTTCTTGAACTTTGGAAAACTGCCTCTTTCAGAAACTGGAAGTTAACAGGGAAGAAGCAAGAAGATAGAAGATTTGTCGATTTCAAGAATCATTGAGAAGATAGGTTCAGCAGCCCACCGAGAAGATTAGAGGACCTTGACAAGATTGGGATCAAGAAGCCAAAGCTTTGATATCAAAATGATACAAACAAAGGGGTGTGGGAGTAGAATTTCAGCAAAACAACAATCAAGAATCACTGAGAAGAATTCTGAAGGCAACGACAAAAAGAATGTTATTGATGTAAAGAAGGCACAAGAATACATACAAGGCACCACTTGGGCTGGCACTTCTAGGATTTAGTTTCAAGGAAGATAAACGGGTAGCCCAACCTTCCTCAAAAGAAAGAAACTCATAATTCTAAGATTAAAATTTATCCCTATACAAAAAACAGCCCCTATTTATAAGTACCAAGATCCCTTTATTACAGGTTTGCCATCCAAATAGAAAAATTAATAAAAATAGAATTAGAACATAAAAACTGAACTGTAAAATGATTTGGACAGCACTAGCTCTGACTCTCTCACATCAATTTCTGCTTTGAAGCTCTTCTTATGCATGTTCTTTAGGGTTCATCTATAGGGGTTTACATGATCCAATCTTAAATGAGCTTGCCATGTGTATGTGTTCGGGTTCTTAGAAATTTTTGCTTGAAATTGGTGTTTGGCTTGTTTGACTTCGAGCTAAACATTTCCAAATATATAATAATAATAATAATAAGAATAATAACTAGTGTAATGACAAGTGAGCTGCCATAGGGCATGACTTGGCGACATTTTAAGTGAAGGTTTACTTCATTTTTACGGATTATATCCTAACGGCCCATTGGCGGTGATCGCAACTTTATTTACAAGTAGTTGTAATACTGTTGTGTAAAAAACAATTTTTTTTCGAAACGTATGGAGCTTTTTTGTTTTGAATATTTCCTACATCCATACTCTTAACAGATTTAGTCGTAAAAGTTGCTTTCCATACAAAAAATTTTGAAACGTGACGAAAGCTATAGTTAGATTACGGTCACAGATGTTTATAAAAATCTTCAAAAAAAAAAAAAAAAAAAACCCAATCGCACCCGTACACTTTTGTTCGTTTCACCTAACATTAATTGAACAGGTGTTTGGGATTGACAAGAAGTACTGGTTCATCCCAACCTACTCAGACGATGACTTGAGACGGATTCCAGCGCTGCAAGGCCTTGAATACCCAACAAAACCAGAACTAGATGCACAGGATTTATGAAAAACAATTATTTTTGCAGTCTGGCTATATTTAGGGAAGATCCCCAGCTTGGCTTTCTAAGATCAACATTAAAAACCTGGAGATTTATAGTTTTAACCCCCATTTTAATCATCAGAAGCAGCAAGAGAAGGAAGTAGTGCTGTAATATAAGGATGAAGAAGAGGCCATTTTTTTCTAATTGTGTTGACATTTATAGTATACTGTGTAGAATTTGTTCTGATTGTGAAGGGATGGGTTGAGAGTGCTGTTTGTGGAGGTGCTAATGTATCCAGCTGCTATTTGTCTGGTGCTGATGTGCTTATGGTTTCAGTAAGCTGTAAAATAGATGTTTTTAAAACATGTTAGTTTTAGGGTCCATTCATTTAAGACGGCGGATTACTATTTTTCTCAAGTTAGACTAAATTGTTCCACGTAAGAAATAATTTTAAGTTCTTAATTGGCATCTGCACATATTTTCTTGGTTCTGAGAACATCAGATATATTTTTTTAAAAAGCTAACTAGTGGTTTGTATCCATGAAGCAGCTGTTGCATCCTTTTGGTAGTTACTAAAAGCTTAAATTTTACTTACATTCGAGAAAAATCTTCCTTGTTTCTCTTTTTTCCCTATTCTTCTCATTTTAATTTCTTTTTGAATTTTGTTGAGTGTTAAGAGTAAGACAGTACTTGGAGCTAAAGGTTTTTTATGGTTTGGTCATATTAAACGACGACCATTTGATGATTCGGATAGGGGAATAGATGTTTTAGATTCGTTTATGTTAAGAAAGGCAGAGGTAGACGAAAAATGATTTGGGTATATTGCATCAAAAATGATCTAAATCAAGTAGGATCAAATGAAAATATTATAATGGGACACAATGGAGAAAAGTATTCGATCCCATTTAGTGGGATAAAAACTTCTTGTTGTTGTTGTTATTTTGGTTGTATCTGTTCAATAAACAATACAAAATATAAAATCTTGAAAATATATGTTTTATATGTGCATGTAAATTTTGTAAAGCATTTCAATGCAATCCATAGAAATTCCTTATTTTTAAAACAAATTATAAAAATGAACAAAGAAATACTTTAATTAAATTAAAAGCATTTAAAATTTTTTTTCATTTTTTGTCGATTGAAAATATAACAATGCATGAATAATTTTCTTAGAAAAAATAAGTATTAGTAGTTATGATCTAAATTAAGATTAAAATCTAAATTAATGATTTATTATGATCATATTTAAATTTAAAAAATAAGTTTGATAATAATTTTTATGAGATCAATTAATTTTTTTGTTGAGTGCGTATAAATAAAATATAATTGTTACTAGTCAATTTTTTAATGTTAAATAAATGTTATTTTAACATGTTAATCCCAAATGCTCGTTCTAATATATATATATATATATATGTATATATATATATAT